GAGTGAAAGCTGCAGGAAAACCTTGCCTGCTCTTCCCCAGGGGTTACTTGTTCACACCTTCTTTGAAGACAGCGTCTAACGCTGACACGTACCTTACGTACTTTACTGGATGGGCCAAGCTGGCTGGCCAGGGAGTTCCAAGGTTCCATTCACCAGTCTCTGACTTCCCAGGTTAGGATTACAAGTGTGTATTGCCATGCCTGGCTGTTCTATGTGGGTTTGGAGAATCAAACAGATTCTCATTCTTACAAGGCAAGCACTGTACTGACAGCCATTTCCCCAGCTCTTCAGTGTCCTTTTCTGTGGAATGGCATTAAGGTGGCATTCAGAGGGCCACTTTGGGAATTAAATGGTGACCAAGACCTGCCGGCAAGTATCAGCGAAATGATGTTAGACAGTTCTTATGCGCTGGGCCAGCACTTGTATTTTCTGGACCGTTATAAAGGGGATGGAAAGTCAAACTTGTAGAGTTCCATGTACCACAGTCAACACATATACCTGACACGTGGCAGGCATCACTAACTACAGTCAGCATCATGACTGCACTGTCAGCAGGGCCGACAGGTTCCCTCCAGCACGTAAGTTTACTCGCGTGAATTAGCCTGTGCCATTCAGAAGCTCTTAATGAGATTGGTGTACTGGAGGCTGATCCCCCTTATCAGTGGTGCTGTGAACTGCGCAGCTCACAACACTTAATTTCCCTCCATGAAGCCAATCCTTTAATCCTGATTTAGTCTGGCTGGGATTCTGCCTGGCTTTGCACTGGAAAGCATTCTCTGGCTGCGCTGGACCAGCACAAAGCAGCTCTTCAGTAACTCCGAACAAGCCAAGATGCTGAAGAATAGTGGGGGCCACTTCCTGGCTCAGACATACTTGCATCATAATGGTTTTGTTTTCCAACTGCAGGAGTGATAGAGAAGAATCCACATACAGACACATGCCTAATTACAGCTTCCCCAGTTGGTAGAAACAGGAGGGAAAGCCCAGGAGACCACACACCCACAGGAGAGACAGAGAGAGAGACAGAGAGAGAGAGAGAGACAGAGAGAGAGAGAGAGAGAGAGAGAGAGAGAGAGAGAGAGAGAGAGGAGAGAGAGAGAGAGGGAAGAGAGAGAGAGACAGAGAGGAGAGAGACAGAGAGAGACAGAGAGAGAGAGAGAGAGACTGAGACAGAGAGACTGAGAGAGGCAGATGGAAAGGGCATGAATGAATATGAGTTAACTGTGGGAGGCTGGGCTGTGAGGCTCAGGAACCAGGCTTGGTATCCAAAGAGCAGGACCTTGGCTACCACCACTCCAGGGCTGCAAGTTTCCCTTGAGGGCATGCTAAGCATCCTAAATGCTTCGTATCATTCCTGGCTAATCATGGAGTCACTGGGAGATGGGAAACACTTCCAAGTGGGGCAAAAACACCAGGCAACAGGAGTCTGTGTGGCTTTGCTTTAGAGACTGGGGCAGTTTCCTGCCTGAGGTCTCACAGCACCTAGGGAGAACTAGAGCCCCAGAGTCCTGAGCACCACCCATAGCTTGGTTGCATCTGGAGTGATTTGTGAGTGGAGGAGAGGCCCCCAAGCATTATGAATTAGTGCCTCATGTAGAGCACACACCTTGAAATGAGTGAACACAGGCTGGAGTAACATCACATTAGCTGGTGGATGATGGAGGATAACTTTGTGTGGCGGTCTGAATAAGAATGGTACCCATAGGCCTATATATTGAATGCGTAGTCATCAGGGAGTGGCACTACTTGAGAAGGATTAGGAGGTGTGGCCTTTGGGATAGCTGTGCCATTGTGTAAATCACTGGGGGTGGGCTTTGAGGTTTAATCAGGCCTAGTCTCTCTCTCTCTCTCTCTCTCTCTCTCTCTCTCTCTTCCTGCAACTGTGGATCTGTATGCAGAGCTCTCAGCTCCTTCTCCTGCACCAGGTCTGCCTGTCTGCCACCATGCTCCCTGCCATGAGGACAATGGATGGAACCTCTGAAACTCTAAGACCTCAATGAAATGTTTTATAAGAGTTGCTGCGGCCATGGTGTTTCTTCGCTGCAACAGAAACAAGGACAGAAGCTGGTAGCAGGAGGTGGGGTGCTGTTGTGACAGGCCTGATCATACTGCTTGGGGGTGGAATGTTGACTTTGGGACACCGAATTAGGAATCAGGCAAACTCTTTAAGTGGGGCTTGATGGACTATATTAGTAGGAGTGTGGAAGACGGTGCTGAGGGTGAGCTGAACTGGGGGCTCAGCTCAGGAAGTTTCAGAGGGGAAAAATATTAGGAAAGGGCCTAGAGATCACTTTTGTGATACTTTGGCAAAGAATGTGGCTACTTTTTGTCGTTGTCTGAAAAATCTGTTTGAATCCAAATTGAAGAGTTTTGGATTACTGGTACTGGCAAAAGAGATTTTCAATACATGTGTCACATGGCTATTCATGGTCAGTCTTATACAGATCTTTTATGAAAAGGAGCAAGCTGAGAAAGGAAAAAATACAGATTGTGCACTTTGAGGGGGAAAGGAGCACCAGGAAATGTAACACAGCCAAGTCCTCTGCTCAAGGACAGAAGCTAAATGGAATAAAGGGAGTGGTGACCTCAAGACAAGACCCCACCCAACTAATCTTCCAACTTGTGAGAAGGAATTAAAGAACAGATTCAGCAGTGAAGGAAGAATCAGCAACAGAAAGCTGATGCAGGCGCAACCGAACAAGGGGCCCATGCTCCATCCCCAGCAAGCAGCAGGACTGGCAGCTTTGGTTACATGGTTCTGGCTTTCGAGTCAATGACAGAAGAAAGGGATTGTGGTGTCTCCCTAAAAAACTTCCCTCATTGCTAAGGAGAGTTGCTGAGGCCAGGCATGTGGCAGGGGTGTCCCTGAGCGGAGGCCTAGAGAGGCCACTGTGTAAAACTACAAAGGTGAAGCCTGGCTTGTGTTGGAGACCCAAGATGGTGGAGAGGCCAGAGCCATGAGAGTCAGAAAAGAAGAGCTTCAGACTGGGTGTGGAACCGGCCCAATAAAGAACAAAGGTGTTACAGTCAACAAAGCTAGAAGGAGTTGGAGATCTGAAGGGCACTTTGATGTCAGATGTGAAGATAAGGAATGTGGAGTTTGCCCAGCTGACTTTTAGTCTTGCTTTGGTGCAGTGTTCCCTTGCCATGCTCCCTTTCCTGCTTTTGGAATGGTGATGTATATTCTGTGCCATTGTATGTTGATTTTGGTTTTAGAGAGGTTTACAATTAAGAGAATGTCACGAATCTTACAACTTTGGATGTTCAATGTTGAGACTGTGATAGACTATGGGGACTTTTGAAGTTGGGCTAAATGCATGTCTGCCTTAGGGTATGGCTCCGAGCCTACGGGGGCCAGGGAGTGGAATGTGAAGGTTTGAATAAGAATGGTCCCCATAGGCTTGCATATTTGAATTGTTGGTCATCAGGGACACTATTTGAGAAGGATTAGAAAGTGTGATCTGTTTGGGGTGGGGCCTTATGGGAGGAAATGTGTCACTGGGGATGGGCTTTGGGGTTTCAAAAGCTAAAGTTAGGGTCAGTATGTCTGTCTTCCTGGTACCTATGGATCCAGATAAAGAACTCTCAGCTACTTCTCCAGCGCCTGCAGGCCACCATGTTTCCACCATGATGATAATGGACTAAACCTCTGAACTTTCAGCTACCCCCAGTGAAATGCTTTCTTTTATAAGAGTTGCCATGGTCATGGTGTCTCTTTAAAGTGACAGAACAGTGACTAAGACAATTTGTAAAGTCAGGCCCAATCTGGAGGTTTTGCAAACCTCAGGGGACACAAACAATAACAGCAACTGGCAGTGCCAACAGTGCCAACAACTCAGCCCCCATCATGGATTGCCTACATTTTATATAATATTTCCTTTCATTTCTTTGATTTTTTTTTGAAACAAGGTCTTACCATGTTACCCAACATGGCCTTGAGTTTGTGATTCTTCTGTCTCAGGTGGGCAGAGAATGTAGGTGCACACACTACCACTCCACTTCACATGCTGTTTCTACTGCCCCGAGAACTGTCTGAGGGACAGGTGATAGCTGCCTCTTTGCCCAGATGGTTCCTTTTGCAAAAGTTGGGTTGTTCCCGGACAGAGGTTCTGGGTGCCCGTATGCACAGATTCAGGCTGGTCATATTCCTAACTGTCTACCCACAGAAACTGAGCATGAAAGAATTGTGTCATGCGTGTATCCCCTTGCCTCTCCCCACACCTAGAGAGAAGAAAGCCCCTGAGGACCCAGGGGAATATAGGGCCATGAGAGGGAAGGGACCTGGATCCCTGATTACCCACATGGGAGGTCCCCAGCCAGGCTTCTTGCAATGGCTGTGTGGGGACAGAGTAACCTGTTTGTGGAAATGCTTGGGACTAGGGGCTCTCCCTACTGACACACAGTATTTCTCTGACTAAGCACAGATTAGACCAGAAGCTGGTGCCACTGTAACTGATGTCTGCAGGTGCAGGCGGGAAGCTGAACACCTGTGCTGTGCAGTGCAGGAGCGAGGACAGGCCCAGAGGGTGGACAGCAGAAGCCTGGACCTGCGAGGTGGAGCAGTCCAGTGTCTCAGGCCTAGAAGCCAGCCAACAGCCTCAACACCCTTCCAGCTAACTCCTCAAAGAGCTCCATTGAGCACTAGGGCTTTGGAGAGGCAGAATGGTCAGTACACAGGACTGCCTGGGGAAGACCCAGCTGCTGGCTTCTCCATCCCAGCCTCTGCTCCTGTTGACAACACCCATTTTCAGGTCTCATTTCCTGGCCTGCAACCTCTAGGAAGCCCTTCTTCCACCCCCACCCCCAACCCATCCTGAGCCGGAGCTGAGATCCCAGAGCTTAGACTAGCCAGTGATGACGGACTCACTGGCTGGGAGCTCAGAGGGTGGGTGCCCAGGAAGTGACTGCATTATGTGTGTGTTGGGATGGGGAGGGGTGTGTGCTCAGAGAGGGCTCTGCTGGTCGCTTCCATTTGTATGTTTGGGTCCCCTTGGCCTTACCTGCATGGGACTGCATGTGCTCCAGCAGGTTGCTGTAGAACTGAAACTGGATACCACAGGCACCGCATGTGTAGGGTTCTGGGGAAGACAGGTGACATGTGACAGGTGGCTCATACCCAGGTACCCTGATACTGGGCTGCAGGCAGCTTTGAAGGTGGGGGAACCAGATGCATACTTGGGGCCCGGGGCCCAGGGCCCAGCCTGTCCACTGTCCTGTCTCTAGCCTGGAGAGGGAAACGCTGTGGAAAGGAAGAAATATAGAGAAGGGAAGACCGGCAGAGACAGGCTGCTCGAGCAACGGGCCTGCTCCTTGTCAAGTGCTTACTTCATGCCAGGCACTGTTCTGAGCACACAGGAAAGTACAACATCCAGACACCGGGAGCTCTCAGGAACCACACAGCTTAGCCCCTGCCCACGGCACCACAAAGGGGTCACTGCTATGGACAGAACAAGTGAGCAGATGTGTGAATGAACACGGAAACTCACAATGGGAGGGTAAGAGAGAAAGAGATGGAGGAAGTGCAGGGTAGGACTGGGCTCAGGGGACAAGCGGCACCTGCACCATCAGCTCTGCGTGTCCAGGACTCGCACCAGTACCTGGCAAAGAGGGAAGAAGAAGCAAACAAAACACTATTAGGTAGACGTGAAGGGCAAGAGGAAGGAAGGTGGCTTGGAAAAGAAGCCCTGAGGCTGTCTGGATATCCAGGAATGGGTAAACCTGTTCTCCCTCCTGTGTGCTCGGGATTCTGACAATCCGACACACCTCTCTACCCTCCTGGGCCCTCTGCAGCCTCCCCAGACTATTGCTGGGTGTTCCCTGGAGGGTGGTCCGAGGCCCATCTACATCTCCCTGAGACCAGAAGAGTTCATTCCCTGACCTGCCTTGTCCTTTTCAGCCCCCCAGCAGGATCATCACTCACTCTGCAGGAGAGGAAAAGAATTGGAAATCAGGGGACTTGTAGTTTCTGCAAAAGAGAAACAATTTAGCTAAGGTTTTCTTCAGTCCTGGGGCTGAGCCAGCAGGCGCTCTGGGTAGGCACACAACCTGTGGGAAGGTGGGTGAGAGGCTGCACTCAGCAGAGAAGGTAAGTACTGCATGGTGCTGGTAGGGCCATTTCTCTAGGGTGCTCTGACAGTGAGGCCATGGGACGCAGGTACGATGCCCATAAGTGGCCATATACTGGTGACAGAATGTTGGAAACTGTCCCCAGCTTCTGACAGTAGGGTGGGAGTGCTTGGTATCAAAGCACCTGAGTAGCCCTGGACAGTGTTTGCTGGCATTGCCAGAGGGTGAGGTTGGCAAGTCTCCAATGTAACAGGCAGCAAAAGTTAAGTGCAGGCAGAGTAGGGGGTCCTGGCTCTACCTACAGTCTGGGGAACCTGGGGCTACAATGGAGTTATCCTGAGCCTCAGTTTCCTCATCCAGAAAGTGGGGATAGAGGGAACACTATTCCCACAGGATTGTGGAATGGGTGAAGCAGATACAACACAAAAAACTCTGAACACATGCCAGTCACATCGTATGCGCTCAATAAACAGTGGCTGCCAGCAGCAGCAGCTGCCGCCACCTACGGCAATGCTGTTCCCAAATAAACATCAGCCTTGGTGTCAGGAGAGCTGCAAGGGGTGCAACAGGGCTTGGCTGCAAGTCCAAGCGCTGCCAGGAAAACCTGGTTCTAATTCTAGGCTGCCACTTCACCCTCTCCTAGACTAACCCTTTAGAGGGGCTCGAAGGGTCACAGTGACATCCCTGCATTGGTACTCGTGCTGATTGCTTGGTTTACACCCCTGCAAAACAAAACAGACAAACCTCAAAGCAACGCACCCTCCTCTCCTGCCTGTGTTCTCTGGGGCAGTTTGAGCTCCTCAAGCACTCATTGCCAAAGAGGAATTAGGGCTCATCGGGAGCACTCACTGGAGGCAGTGGAGCTAAGTTCAAGCCTAGGATCCAGAGAGGTTGCTTCTATTACTAGGCAGAAGCCTCCACCTTATGTCTGTGCTCCTTGCTGGAGTCCATGGTGGCTAAGATGCACGCATTGCCTGTGTACATCAGGCAGTGTTGGCCCGGGGGCACTCACTCAGCCACATTCTAGCCAAGGGTAAACCCTGGAGTCCAAAGCTCTCTGTTCTCAGGCTCCGAGGTACCACTAGAATCCAGAATGAGGCAGCCACTAGGTGGCAGCAAACGCTATCAGGAGCGCTCATGCAAAGTCAAAGCACTGCAGGGGCTAGAAGAGCAGCTATCTGTTCTGTGGCCCCAGGTCCAGCATGGATCCGGAACCTGGGACCTCCGGCTCCTGTAAGCCGTCTTTCTACTGTACCCCGTTTGCATCTCCTGAAAAGAAACATGTTATGGCGTTATTTTTAACTTAAGGGTCAAAGTTCAGCCGCAGAAGAGCATCCATGGACACAAAGGCTTTCTGCTCTCCACAGGCTCCATCGTCTCTGATTCCACTGCTCAGCTCCCCTCCCACCATGCACCAGAAGACCCCATAATATTGCCCTTCTGAGGTCACATCACAGACACATCACAGACACACTCACCACTGGAGTGACCTTCTGAGGTCACATCACAGGCACACTCACCGCTGGAATTCTGTGAGCTGCTGTTGGTCTCTTCAAAGTGGTTCTGTGCTTTGCCTTCTACTCGCCGACTGAAGGTGCTTTCTGCTGGGTGGGGGGCGGGATGAGAATGACAGGGGAGGATCAGATTGTCTGTCAGGTCAGAGTGGGCACAGACAGGGCTTCTCGGGCTGGGAGAACAAGAACCCTGAGCCACCTGGTTCCCAAGAGCATCTCCGCGTAGTGTCTGGGAGGTACAGGGGCAGAGGGGAAGAAGTGACTTGCCTAAGGACACACCAATAAAACGCAGCCAACGAGCAGACAGCAGGTCAGGGCCCTGTTTTTTTACTCCAGGGTCATATGTGTAAGGCTAAATCATTTCCATGAGCTTTGTTACCCCGGCAGACTCTGCTGCTGCAGCCCCCACAGAAGAGGATGAAGGATGACAGCCCATTTTCTGGAGGCAGCTCTGGCCCAGCAAGTATCCCAAAACACAAAGGATGTCTTGGGACAGATGCACAGCAAGCAGAAAGGAAAAGGCCAGAGACTAGGTGAGGAGGGTTGGAACTCCTGCAGGGAGGGGAAGCGTGGCTCCCTGTTCCCCGTGAGCCATGTCTAACAGCTTTCTGAGAGCTCACCATCACCCAGGCTCTCTCCCTGGAAACTCCATAATGGAGAGACGTGCTCTGGCAAGCAGAACTCTGTAGTCACAGCCCCAGCTGCAGAAGATAACCCAGCCTTTCCACAGTGCTCCAGGCACTAGAGGGCACGGCTGATCCAGGAGATGGGGTCTCAGGAAAGTCAGCTTGAGATACTCAATCAGCCCGAACCCTTTAAACAGCTTGGATGAGGCTACCACAGGCTCAGAGAAACTAACCAGAAGGTGACTCACTGAGCATTAATTAATGCATCCTGCAAAATACTGGGATTCTGGCAAAGACTGGGTTCTGGGAAACCACCTGGAGGAACACCATTCACCAGTCCATCCTACCCAACAAACTTCTGGGTGTCAGTGCTCTGGGAGATGGGTGGAAAAGGCAGCCAGAGGCAGCTCAGCTCTTTTATTATCACTTCAAGGTCTCCCATAGCCCATAGAGGCTGCTGGCGTCAGGACCGTGCTCCTTCTGCGTCCAGCACGTGTAACAGCTTGGGTTGTCTCCAAATAGCCCATCCATTCTCTAGCTACAGAGTGGGAGGAGCTCTCACTTTTGAGCACCCACTATATATCAGACACTGGGTCCGAGTTTTGCCATCATGGTCTTTAATTCTTGCAACACCATGAGGCTGTGCGGCACTGCCCATTGAACAGACAGACAAACAAACTGCAGTTAGCAGGCTCCTAGCCACTAAGATAGTATGTGAGGCTTGACTGAAGGCAGGTGCTTCCCTTCTAGGAAGGTAGGCATCCCCTTCTCTACCATAGCCTGTGTTCACAGGAGGACAGGCAGGTATGCAGATCCTTGTTTGGACTAGCACATGGGTATGACTTAGTGCAACTCAGGTCACCAGCTCCCGTACTGAGTCCCCACTGCTTGACTTTCCTGGTGCAAGGGCGTCTGGCTGGAAAGCAGTGTGCAGTATTTCAGGTATAATATGCACACACACAGTCATATTCTCTAGGATAATGGCAGTGGCCGTCTCCACTTTGCACCATTTGCTAGCCATTGCCACCTCTTGCTTCCAGCCTGCTGCCCTGGACTTGACCAGCTGGTTAGCCTGGGTAATATCCACCACAGGGCTTCCAAGTCTCATAGAGGCAGTTGCTGGTGCGCCCATGGCTTGCTGGACACTTGCCTGAAGATAGCAGCATTCAATGAGTGCCAAATGCCACGAAGTCCCTGAACAATTCTCAGTGCAAGCCGAGGGGCTTTAAAAACTCAGCCACAGAGCTCAAGCAAAGGCAGAGAGCCATGGCCGTGCCATCTGATGAGCCCACGACAGCCAGTCTCTCCAGAGCTTTTAATGCTGAGGGCTGACCCCAACAAGGCCCCCCACAATTACTCTACCACTGAGCTAGATCCCCAACCCTCCTCTTACTTTAAGACAGGGTCTAACTAAGTTGCCCAGCTGGCCTTGAACCCACACTGTAGCCCAAGTAGGGCTTGAACTTTTGATCCTCTCGACTGTAGTCAAAAACACAATTGTCACAACATGGTACTTAAAAATTCCACATTTCAAGGTTGGCTGACTCCCCTCCTTTTGGGAGACACAAGCACATTAAACACAAGACCACAGCTTGGCCCAAATTAGCTTGTTAAACCAGAAGAAAGGCAAGCAGCACTAATTCCCAGCCAGCTCACCAGTCACCAAATGATGCCAGGGCTCATTCATGTGCCCTCTCAGTGCAACCACTCTGTGTTCAGTGGATAGCTTTGGCCTCCTGAAGGCAACTGGAAGGCCAATAGCCCCAGAATAGCACCATCATCTGGGTATGTGGCCCAAGGCTTTCCTCATGCGAGTCTGAGACCCAGGGTGCCTGGAGGCTGGTACCTAGGACACAGTAGGTCTTATATTCTGGAGGAAGCAATCTTTGGGGATTTTTCTGCTCAGTCACCTTCTGGAGACAGGGTTCCTTTTTGCATAGGGCTTGAAAATTCTGGAGCTGGCTGACATCCTCTGGTTTCCAGCTGGACCTCTATCTCCAGGAGGGTTTCAGGGGGGAACTCTAGTGAGTGGGAAGACAGGGTGACAGAGCTCCTGTCAGCCGTCCTACTTGGTGGAGAGCATATCTGTAGTGAAGCAGCTTGAGATGGTGGTCCGGAAGGTGGAAATGCAAGCTCATGCCAAGGGGTCCAGACAGAGAATAGGGTTGGATGGTCACAGACAATGGCATGATTACAGTGGTAGATGATCCTGCCACGGGGCCACTGCAGCAGGCAGGCAGCAGCGAGTGGTAGGGATCGTGGTACAATGGAAGAT